ACGCCGTGCGGGGCTGGGGCCTGCCCGCCCCGGCGTGCCGGGAGCCGTTCGGAATGCCGGGTACGTGTCTCTGTGTGTGTTTATATGCGTGCGCGTTACAGTCTGTTCTATACGCGCGTGTATTTTATGAAAGTGTCGTGAGGGAGACAGGTGCTTTGCTCGTGTAACTTGCCTTCTTGCTGTCCCCGTGCCTGTGTCTGGAGTAAACGATTCTGTAAGTGAGTGGGAATAAAGTGTCGCGGTTCGGTTTGTCTGTGAAATGCTCCCAGGTCAGCCCTTGGCTGCGCGGTGCTGGGTTAGTCAGGGAGCACAGCGAGCCTTGGCTCCCTGGCGGCAGCTGCTGCTGGGGGATTGAGCCTCTGAGCGCTTGTGTTTGTAAGATAGACGTGGTACCTCAAACGGAGGTTTGGCTTTAGCACATCTATCTCTGTGTCCTTAGGCCTGTGTGTGCGCACCTGGCAGGTTTGGAGGTAACATGGAGGGGGGTGCCTGCCAAGGACCAGCGTCTTCTCCTCCACGTTCCCCTCTCAAGGTGCAGAGGGGCATGTGGCTCAGCCGCTGCCGGGTGACACGAGGACGGGGATTGTGCTGGGCTGGGCGGTGGAGGCTGTCTGCCCCCAGCTAAGTGTCCTCTGAAACACAAGTTTCCAGTTGGGTTTCTTGTTCAACGTTTTGGCTTTGGTGTTTGTAGCTCTCTGAAGTTGTGTGTCTTCTTGTTGTCTTTTCTATTTTCCTGAGTAACTGAGTCTTATGGGTGCTTTGGAGGAGCAGAGGTCGTGAGAAGGATGTTCGTGTCCAATGGGGATTCATGGCTTGCATCTCACTAGGTGTGTGGTGAGCACCCGTACTGGTGTTCTCTGTTGTGTATCACCTCCCCTGCAGTGTGCTCCCACTTTTGAACCTGTACCAGCAAGTGTGGTGGCAAAGTGTCAAGAGAACTCCTATATTCCTCCTGACCTGTTGGTTTTAATTTTTTTCTAGCATGCATAGAGAAGGATGTGTGAAGACTAGTTTTAATCTTCAGTAGGTGAGCGTAAGTTGTTATCAAAATAAAACTTTTAGAAGCAAGTTGCCCACTGTAGCATTTTTTTTGGTCTGTGTTCAAAAAAACAAACAAACCCAAACTTGGCATTTTCTGAACATGGAAAATAGCTGTTCTTAATATATCTGGCACAGTAGAAACTTGAGTAAAATATGCTGTATTGTGCCAGCGTTTTTTTTGCCCCTATTTGATGTAATTACGTATCTAGGTAAACCTTTTTGTGACTGCTTTTAAGTAGGCAAATGTAGAGTGCTCCTGGCTCTGTATCAGGGAGGCACAGAGAGCACTTCAGTTGGCCCCTGGGTGATAGGGGTTGTCCTTCCTTCCCTGCTTTCCTGGTAATGCAGTACTGAGGGATAAGGACAGGCTGCTAATTGGGGTGGTCCCTCGAAAATGGCTAATTTGAAAGTTTTAATAAATTAAGTAGTGGAATATTTTATGTTCAGTAAACTCAATACCTTGCTACTCTGTTGTTTTCAGTCCCTACATGATTTTCCTCAGTTTGCTTCTTTTAATTCAATTTTAACCCTGTGTGAGGACTTTAGTTCTAGAGTTTGTTTATAAATCACTGTTATTTTTACTGTCCATGGACCTAGTACATTTGTGTAAGATAACAAGACAAACAAGTCTTTTCACATTTTCCTTACTGAAATGATTGGGTTTTTTTATGTCCATGGACCTAGTACATTTGTGTAAAATAACAAGACAAACAAGTCTTTTCATGTTTTCCTTACTGAAATGATTGGGGTTTTTTTCCAACTATGGGCACTGGGATGAACAGCCTTCTGGATAGGGCTATCTCTTTACTGCATCAGGGGAGTAACAGCATTATGGTGGATCATTTTTACCATCCACGTAAGTTGTTTGGGTTGAAAAATGTCCCTCAGCCCCAAGCTGCTGATACTTATTGGAAAACTTTCTGTGTGAGGTGATGTCCTGTTTTCCCTGGTGTGTTCAGTCTTTGAGAGCTTTGGGAGGTTGCTGTGTACTGAGCTACTGCTGCTGTTTTTAATGTTCCCCTCTGCACACTTGAGTAGGCAGCTGGTAAGAGCAATGAATTTTGGAATGCAATGTCCTCAGACCCATGGATATTACATGTGCTCAGCTCACTACTGTTATGTAATACTGGTTCACTTGGCTCCTTGTGGGACTGGTAAGCTCCTTCATTTACTGTTCTGAGGCTTTAGTATGGCTTAAGGAAGGAAAGACCATAAGGAGTACCCTGAAAGAGAGGAGATGGAGTCAGCAAATGGGGCCTAGCTGAGATTCAGAACAAATTATTTCATAACTTTCCTGAGCTTTGCAGCATGATACTCCCTGCGAGATTTCCCAAGAGCAGGAACAGACTTAAACAACTTCTAATGACTTGAGAGAAACTGAGAAGAGCAGAAAATTGCTGTAATATTTGAGTTTGAGCTTTATGAAACAGCATCAAGGAATTTCCCATCACTAAGTTCCTTAAAGTATTCAGTCAAATTATTTAAAGTCACTATTTGTGAAATGGAATACAAACGAGTCTCTTACCTTAACATATAAGGAAAATATAGTCAGTAGCAAGTGATTATTTAGACTGAAGCAAAGAATAATGGCATGTGCAATATATAACATTCCAGCACAGCTTTTTCTGTATTTACTTGAAGCAGATACCTGTACTGACTATTACACTATTCAAATTCGTGTCCATTCCCTGCTTCCAGGTGGAATTTAAAAGACAAGCAACTAGTCAAAAGGCTATTTGCTTGCTTTTGTGTGACTTGGTGTCCAAGTGTTTGGAGTACACCAGCTTCTTCTTTCAGGTACTCTGCTGTTGGTTGGATGTTACTTATGCCAGTAAAAACAAGCAAAACAGCTCCTCTGGTTTGGCATTTTTATGTAGTCATTTTTAATTCTCAGACAAGACTTTACAGATAAAGATATAAAAAATGATAGAGACATCTAGGAAGTTTGTGAGACTGGCAGACCTTCATTTCAAACTGATTCCCCTTTTCTTTCGGCTATTTAATGGGATACCTTTATATCCATAACAGGCAGTATGTTAATATTGGAATCAATAGTTACTGTTGCTTGGGTCGATGCCATTCCTCTTGTCTGCTGTATAAATGCTGTGTTTTGCTTGATTCAGTTTTACTTCATCATTTGGCCTTAGTATTCAGTGTTGATCAATGCAATATTCTATAACTCTGGTGGTTTTGCAGGCCTTGATGTTAGCACCTAACAGGTTTTCAATCAGTTTTAGGTTCACATGTTCTGATTAGACCAATGTGGCTGCAGAGTATAAAACAGCCTATATATATGCATGCATTCAACACCTGTTGAAATTAGTTTTAGTAAGATTCTTAATTAAGGATTAGTGTTTTAATTGACTTTCCATGATAGCAAAAGTTCTTGTGCAGATGCAGTTATTTGGAGAAAAGCCATTATGCTTGTAGGAAAATGCTATGAACACAAACTGCCAAGCATTTGTAAAACTACTTAGTAACACCAATTCATGGATTCAGAGTTCTTAGGAGTCTGATTTCTTGTCCACAGTGAATCACTTTGTTTATATGAGGAAGTAAGCTGTGTGTAGGCTTTAAATAACTTAGAAATTTTCTTTTTTTCCTGTGTTATTTTTATTTATTTTGTTTATTTATTATTTTCCTCTATTACTCATAATGCATTTTGAGGTATTGTCTAATTTGCTCTGAGGTACTCAACATTTTCTGTATATTAATTTGGGTCACAATATGCTCCCAATGGTTGGTATTTGCAAAAGCTTATAAACACCCTGCCAAGATCAGCAATTGCTCAGTTGACATACTAGTGAAGGGGGAAAGCTGTAGGAGCTTTGCATCTGCCTGCAGCCCACTTTTCTCTTAAGTTGCCTTTGAATTCTGTCATGGACATGTTTAGTGGTGGGTACACTCAAGAGGAATTACTCCTGTATATTAAAAATAAGTATTCATATTTCATTTAATTCATGTACTCAAATTGGAAAGCTTAGGCCAGTTAGGCAGTTTTTGAGCCCAAACTGTACACATGATATTCCGGGTGCTGTGGCCCATTTGCTTAGAAGAATGATGTTAGAAAGCATGTGGTTTAATGGTGTCCTGACTGCACAGTGTCTTCACAGCTAGGTGGTCCCCGCTGGTCATTGCAACAGCCAAAACACAGAAGGTGGTTGGAAAGCTGATGTAGACTGCTAGGAGATCCATGGTCTCTGTGGCCGTGTTTTTGAGAACAGTCTCAAGCTGATATTAAGGGCGTGCTGCTGCTTAGAGGCAGAAGTACCTTCCTGGCTGTGATGTGTTGCTGCTGTTCCTGTGCTGATACCACTAATCAGGCGTAGCGTAAAGTCATCTGGATGTGTCATGAGGTTCAATCTATTAATGGAAAAAAGGGGAAAGATGAATTGGAGCCAGTGGAAAAGAGGCACCAAGCTGTGAGGGTGGGGGAGCATGTCTTCTGCCCCATCAGCAGTCAGTGAGCTGTTGTGTTAGATGAGTGGATCTAGAACTCTGGTCCTAGGTGTGTCTTATCTGGTTTGACCACCTTAGTGCAGTATCTCATGTGCAGTAAATATTACCAGTAATTCAGAAGGCAGTTGTTTGTCAACTGATTGTGAATTGCTTTCTCACAATAAGCAGGAGACAGAATAAGTAAATGGAAAACAAAGTGGAAATTGGAGACTAGTATGGAAAAGACATTTTTCTTTGTTACTGTGTTTAGTGGAGGGTGAGTTGGATGTAAAAATGACACAGCCTAAGGATGTAAGAAAGGAAATAGCTTTTGAGGTATGGGAGTTTCCTGCAGCAGTTCTTCCAGACATGATCTAATAGAATCTTGCTTTTCTTTGGTTTTGTTGTTGTGACAGAGAAACATGCTGAATAACAGCTTTGTTTTGTTTTCAGGATGATCTGCACAAATCTCATAACTCTGAATCGGTCACAGATGGACTCTCTGCAACTTCATTTATGGAATATCCAAAGTACAAGCCATTTATTAATTCAGATTTGCAGCGCTCCCCATGGAAACCAGTAATTCCATATCCTGAAAGCAACAGCAAAGGTAATAGCTCAGAAAAGTTGTTTTCTTACCTGTTTCCAAATCATGTGGTGAAATACTGTGTGCCCTCCACACCTACAAAGGTTGCAGTCTTTTCATCCTTTGATGACTTCCCAGTGGTGCCCATGTCGCCTGTTTTGCAGGTCCTTTGCACTTCCCTTTCTGAAGAGCACCTGATGGGAAAAGGTTGTCTTACAGCTAGAGAAAGATACTCCTTTTTGGTAGTAGAGAAATGTAAAATTGTCTGAGGACTTTGTGAAGTTGTATTGACATGGCTTTTTTGTCCCTTCTTCAGTCATCTCCTTCTCCTGAGCTCACAGCTGAATTAGAAACAAGGAGACTTGAGTCCCCCCCAGAATGGTTTGGAGCAAAGAAAGAGGTTTGATCCTATTGAAATAGGAAGGCTTGTCATGGATAAAGGGTATGTTGAGAGTATTTATAGCATCAGTGAAGTCCTAGAGGATACAGAGAAGAGTTCAGCATAGTGCTGGACTGAGAGTTTGCCACACCGAAAAGGGAGGTGGTTTTACTCCTATTTGTTCTTGTTTCTAGGCTGTTCTTTATCCCTCCTTTCCCACTCTGGTCCTGGTGTTCATCTTCAGATAAACAGATCTGTCTTGCCTGACTGCATACAAACGAAAAAAAACACATTCTGTGTTAGTTTTCTGTTGTTTCAGAGAATTGGCTTGTCATGTAGTGAGATGTATGCCAAAGCTACCTCAGGGTAAGTATAGGAGGCAGTGTAGGGAGTTGGGAAACTAGAGCAGAACCAGTCCTTTGAGCTGTTTTACTCAGGGTCATTGCAAAAATGCTTCCTTTAAGACAAGAGTTGCATGGAGGCTTAAAGGCATGAACAACTTAGTGTTTTTTCCTTATAGGGAGAAAAATGAGAGATTTAGGATGAATCCTAATATTACTCAAACTAAGTAGAAAAAATCAAGATGGTGCCTTTAAGCCCCTGTCCCAATAACACAATTCATTTCTGAATTGCTAGGGACTTCATCTAGTAGATGAAATGTCAGTTCTTGAAGTGCTGTTTAAAATGCAGTATATACTCTCAATACCATCAGTTTTGAGAGTGCTGTTGACACAAAACTAAAGGAACCTTGTGACGAATGAAAAATTGGAAGTGCAGGTAGGAGCTTCCTTATGAACTATTGATGTGGGGGTGTTTTTGTAGATTGTGTTGCATGTTGCATTAGTGACAAACTTTTGGCCTCCAAGTTTTCACTTGGCAACTTTTTTTAAACAGGGAATCTGCCAACTCTGAAATAAATGCAGGTGGTGGAAGACAATCTGATAAATTGTATCTCTTTTTAAAAATTAGGAAATGTCTATATTACTCCTCCCATCCCCCATGTTAAAAAAAATCTATTGAAAATTAATTAAATTGAATGTGGTAAACTCTGTTAATTTTGGTTCTGATTTGTGTTGTATCTGTGTGTGACTCAACATGCATAGTTGGCTTTAATACCTTAACAAGAATGACTGAATGATACTTGACATCCTTTTGGGTTTCACCTTTGTTCTTTGCTAGGGTTGCTTCATTGCTGTAGTTTGTTAGTCATTATTGTAAATATATAGAGGTTTCAATTTAGCTTTTAAGGATAATAGTAACAAATCCATTTACAGTTCCAATTATGCTAATTTCAACTGAATCCTGAGAATAGTAATATAGAGAAGAGGGTGCAGTTGGTGACTCTGATCTTGCTAATAGGGCCAAGTTATCAATCACTTCGCCTTAACTGCATCTGGTGTCACCCGTTTCTTATGTACTTAACAGGTATCTTAAATCAGGTAAGATCTATTGATGTGATACTCTAATGTGATGTTCTGCATATCAAGATTTGATGAGTATTATTTTTCTTTTTTTTTTTTTTTTTGTGGTTTGGTTTGGGTTTTTTTGTAATCTGATGCCCAAACTAATATGTAATCCCAGCTCTGCATTCTGTGGCATGGATTTAGGCACAAAGGAGTGGGCTAATGTGACCTTGCAGATTAGTCTGCTATATGAGCTGTGTGTACAGATGTTCTTGTGTTTTACTTCAGTGGCAGTGTGTAGGGGAAAGGGCTTATGGTTCCCTCTACAGAGTTAAACAATACAGCTAAGAGACCTAATACATCAAATTACCAGCAGATGGGCTAATTGCAAGGTGATGTGAGTTCTTTTACAAGTGCTTTTGTTTTTGTGGTGATGGATATATAAAGGCTTTGTTTAGTAATTGCTAAAGCAGAGAGCGTCACAGAAAGAGGGAGACTTGCTCTGCACAAAGGTGATGCTTGTCTTTGGGGGGAGGAGGGGAGCACAAGTGCCAAACCAGAAGAATTAAAAATAATTCCAGTTATAAATAAACACTTTTATAGCCCTTCTCATAGCTAACCTTTATGCTCTGTGGCTGTTCATAGGAGCATCACATTTGTGTATTTGTTGTGCTAGCATACACTTAGAGGAGTAATAATACAGAGAATTGCCACTGTTTTAACTATCTAGTTGTGACCCTTCGTTGCCTTTGGTAGAGAGTCAGAGGATGTAGTGTTTGTGCTGAATTGACATAATATTTTCATGCCATGGGTGCATCTTTCTCAAATGTATCAGGTGAAGGTGTGTACCAAGGGCATCTATTGAGACTAGTTTTAGAATCAGTTATGGTTTAAAGGGAAGCAAGTCTTAATTCCTGGAAGGAGACCTGGATACTGGTAAGGAGCACTCTGACTTTCTTACATAACATGCTTTTATAAAAATGTTTGAAGTTCAGTGTTATCTTGAAGTGGTGATTTAATGCTATCTGATGAAAGGTATTTGTTCGATTACAGCAATATTTTCTGCTCTGAAGAATCTCCAGGAAAAAATTCATCGGCTGGAGCTGGAACGGTTTCAGGCGGAGGAGAATGTAAAACACCTCAGCAGGGAAACAGCAGACTACAAAAAAGTACTGAGTGAACAAATGCAGCACAAAGAGCATGACAAGACTGAAGTGTCAAAGAAAAATCAAGGTTGTTTGCAAACTTTATACGGATACTACAGAAATGTGGATGAAACTTGATTTCTGTCAATACATAAAGTGATTTTAGTTTACTTGGTTCTGGGTCTTTTAGTTCGCTGTGGCACATGGAGTTACAAAGAAATAATTTAAAAGCATAGTTTGGTTTAGGGATTTGCATGCATACAGAAGTTTGTTAGGCTTGATATGTGAATTTCTTTAAATGGGCCTTTTCTTGTTTGTTTTGGAGTTGTCCTGAAAAAAAAATCCTCGAAACAATCAGTGCATAATTTCAGTTTTCTGCCTTTTGTTACCTTCAGAGCTGACTTCTCAGCTGGCAGCTGCTGAGGCTCGGTGCAGCCTCCTGGAGAAACAGCTGGACTACATGAGAAGAATGATCCAGCATGCCGAAAAGGAGAAGTCACTTCTCTTGGAAAAACAGGTGTGTTCCCAAAATGATCTCAGTGTTAAATCATAAGTCATTAACTATGTGATGATTTTTCATAGTTACTGTAATTTTGATACTTGCAAGTACAGATGTCTATTTCAGTTGGCCTTTATAGACTTAGGTGTGGGTAGCTTCCCTGCTTAAATTTCCCAGTTGTCTCCTGACCCTGGTATTTCCCTTGTGCACTTGTTTCAGAGGCAATGGCAGGCTCTGGTATTAATAAGAATTGGTTGTTTCTGCATGATTGGCTTATTGAGTAGCTGATCCTTATCCCTCAGTGTTAAGCCTGTGTCACCTAGGGCTCTCTGATTGGTCTTTGTGGCTGTCATATTTCAGTCTGTTAAATGTTTTGTGAAGAAAAAAGTCAAAATTATCTCTACTAGCTGTGTAATGAGGGGGTTTTACCATGTTGGGTTTGGAGGAAGGAGAGACTGCAAAATTCTCTCTCATCAGGATGTTGTTAAGTGTGTGGTTCCCAGCGTTGGTGGACCAGTGGTTCAATTTGCTTCTTAGCAATTCCAGCAGCGTCTAAAATTGCACAGAGAAAGCAGTAGTTCCTTTGGAGTGTTTATGGGCCTCCTTTGTGCTCCAGACACAGGGCTTACTGTAGATGGTCTTGGTTTATTATGCTTCTAATGGTTTTCATTTTCACTTTTCCCTTCAAGGGTTCATTGGAAAGAGATCGTCTTCTTGATCAATCACATGTTCAGTCTAAATTGGAAAAGCTGGATATGCTGGAAAAAGAGTACAGCAGACTTACTACGATGCAGTCCATAGCAGAGGTTTGTCATTTGTATTGGGTATCAGATCAGATTTATCTTGGTTGTTGTAATTGGCACTTTATAGCTATATGGCAGTGACAGAGCTGAGCCAAATTTGGAGCTGTAGAGAAAGGCAGCAATTAAACTTCTTTTTAAAGCTGAAGTGTTGCAAAACCTTGAAGTTACTGCTGAAAGTCTACATAGCCAGGTCACTGTACACTGCAGGAGACAGTTTTGTTAAGCCTTAACTATATCTGTT